TTACACCACGTCCTAAATCAATGGGTCCCAAGGAAAACCCTTGGAGGTCTCCAACGGCCAATTTCATACACATACACTTGGTCGCGGGGGTGGATATATGTCATCATGCTTGGATGTCCGTGCGTCCCTCGGGGTGGTCTAGTGGCGGCGGCAGGGAGGCCTACCGGGTTGACGAAAAAAAAAGGGCACCAACATCCCCATTCCAATATTAAATTTTGAACCCTTCGTTGTGACACATCCATGTGTGAGGCGTCCTGGAGGCTGGAATGGAGACTGGGGCGAAACGTCTGTGCAGAGGAGTGATGGCGGTCATGGCTTAAAAGAAGGGAATTGTAATGTTGGGCAACGTAGCGTGCATGCGTAACAGTTCTCTATTGTGACGTGGCCTTCGTGTTCCGCATGCTCTTAAGGTCGTAACAACTTAGCTCGAACGTAACGCTTCCGTGAAACGTAGAGAGTGCGAGCGCGGTCCCCATCGACTTGCAGAAGGTGCAGCGAGGGGGCCGACGGGCGAATGAGTGGTGGGTGCTTGCACATTGCAAGTCCTGACGATGGAACGAGATCTCTCGAGTGGTGCGAAGGCATCAACAGCATTGGAGAGAAACACGGTGGTCACAGCTCTGTAAGTCGTCACCATGCGTTATCGCATTGAGAGAACGACATCTCGCCTGAGGATGAGATTGTTCGTTCGCAGGCAGACAGCTGATGCAACAAGTGATGGATGCACCCGATTGTGTGTCATTAGCGGAATCCATTGTACAATTCTTCTGCGCCATGGCATCGGGTGTGATCCCACGGGCGACGTCGAGACGGTGGATGAGGAGAAGGACGGGAGGGATATGGAAGGATCTCCAATAGGTTAACGACACGGCAGAGGGCTACTACAAGGAGAAGCCGCGGAGTGGAGTAGTCAATGGCGAGCGTCGGCTGCTTGCTGGAGGTGTCCCGCCGGTCCACCGTCGTCTTCCTCACCGTTCAGTGTTTCTGTCTGCTGCTAGGACCTCACACAACGACGCACACGTGGAACAACACGACAAGGAGCAGGAGAAGACTGGCCAGCAGCAGGAGCGGGAACCGCTGGAGGACGTCTGCCATGAATCGCAGCATGCGAGGCGTGTACCAAACAAAGCTTGCATCAATGCGCCCTACAATAGCTGACAAAACATGCTAGGCAGATGACTGCAATTGACCGACAGTGCTTCAACATCGCTTGTAGAAAGAGAAAAAAAATCGATCGTTGGACACCACGGCCAGCGACACGGGCATGAAAACCCTCGCTTCGTGAAGCGCCTTACAGCTGAAGAACCACCCCCACGCATTTTCACACCAACGGTAACTGTGGAAGGCCGTTGGGGCCCCGTGGGGTACTGGAGGCCGGCGATGTCCGCCCAATGGACCTTTTTTTTTTTTTTTTTTTTAACAACACCCCCTCCGGTGCTAGTGCTGCTGATAAGAGCAGGCACCACTAGCACCGGGGGAGAGGCTCTATCTATTGGCGGGGAGCATCACCTGCTGGAAATGGGGTCCAGCGTCCCATTTACAGAGAAAAGAGAGTCTGAAAAAACTGGGACCAGTGACTGTGAGTGAGTGTGGGACCTGCCAGCATTGATTGCCCTGCAGAACATGTCTGCCCAATGTACCACGGTTGACCTGTGAACCAACATAGACTCCAAATTTTCGTATCGTCCATCCAGAACACTCCGTGAATCACCGCTCCATGAATCCAAGGGACCTCACCAGGACCCCTTGAATCCAAGGAAGTTTTGGCTGGGGGTTCTGAGGAATCCAAGGAAATCTCTCGGGAGCGTTTTCACTCCAAGGAAATCTCTCGGGAGGGTTTTCACATTCATTCAAGTCAAGGAATTTGGTGCAGTGTAACGATGCCTATTTCCTAAAAATGGGATTTCCAGATTTCCAACGAGGGTCTACGGAGGCCCAGATCGCAAAAATAGAAACGAAGGAACGAAAAAGAGATGGAGAAATGGTCCAATTCCAGATTTCCAAGGAGGGTCTACCGAGGCCCAAATGGTAAAAAAAGAAACGAAGGAACAAAAAAGAGAACGAGAAATGGTCCAAAAAAGAAAGAAGAAGAAGAAGAAGAGAGGACAAGAGAGACGAAAATACAACGGGATTGACATTTGGCTTTCGGGATTGACATTTGGCTTTCGAGACAGCTTGCCGTACGCAGCTGGAGGGGTGAGATCCTGTCCATCTGCTCTTCCCTTTTCCACACTTCTCCCTTTTCCGTATTCTACTCTCTTTTGCAAACAGTGCCGTAGATTTTTTTCAGTACACACACTTCGAAAACTTCCCTGGGCTCCAGCAAGACACACACACACACACACACACACACACAGATATATATATATATATATAGAGAGAGAGAGAGAGAGAGAGAGAGAGAGAGAGAGAGCATTGTGCGTGTGGAGACGTTGCGAGCGAAGGGTGCGTGTATGCGAGAGGTCGGCTGCGCCGCAAAAGAGCTGCAAAAGTTCGTGGCGATGGTCGAGGGGTAGGGGAAGGCTTGAGAAAGACAGTTCCAAAGGTAATGGCGATGGTGGAGGGAGGGGTGGAAGGCTGGTGATAAAGAGCGCGAGAGGTAGTGGCGATGGTGGAAGGAGGGGAAGGCTGGAGACATAGAGCTGGAAAGATAGTGGCGATGGCGGAGGGAGAGGGGAAGGGAGGAGAAAGAGAGCTTGAGGCGGCGATGATGCGGGAGGGGACTTCTGGAGAATGGGAGGTCCCAAGCTGGTGGCGATGGTGAGCAAGGAGAAGGGTGAGGAAAGAGAGGGCTAAAAAGCTAGTGGCGATGGCGAGCGAAGGGAAGGCTGGAAAAGTGCTCGAAAGGTGATGGCGACGGTCGAGGGAGGGGAAGGTAGGAGAAAGAGAGCTCAAAAGGTGGTGGCGATGGTGAGGGAGGGGAAGGCTGGAGGAAGAGAGCTCGAGAGGAGGCGGCTATGGTGAGGGAGGGGGAAAGCAGAAGATGCCATTTACAATCAAGGCAAGAAGTCCATTTTTTCTGTGTCTCTCCTCCCCCCCCCCTCCCCCTCTCTCTCTCTCTCTCTCTCTCTCTCTCTCTCNCTCAGATATCGCTGTCAAAGAAGGAGTATCAACAAAAGGGGAAGCGGCGATGGTGAAGGATAAAGAGAGCTGGAAAGGTTGGCGGCGATGGTGATGGAGGGGAAGGATGGAGAAAGAGCGCTCGAAAGCTAATGGCGATGGTGAGGATGAGTTATAGTCCACGTGTCCGTTCACTTGAGGGTTTTCCGCTGTCTTGCTATTCCACAACCAGCGTTTCGCGCGTTTTTTTTTTTTTTTTTTTTTTTTTTTTTAACCCGTATTTTTTTTCCTTTTATCCATTTTTGTGCCCATGGTGAGGGCGAGGGGAAGGCGGGTGAAGGAGAAAGAAAGGTGGAAAGGTTGGTGGAGATGGTGAGGGAGGAGAAGGATGGAGGAAGAGAGCTTGAAAGCTCTTGGCGATGGCGAGTACGAGTCCGTCCACTTGAGGGGTTTCGACAGATTGCTTCTTCTTTTTTTTTTTTTTTTTTTTTTTTATCTCTATTCCAATTACACGCGCTTTGCCTCTGTTCTGTTCTTCATGTTTTTTTTTTTTTTTTTTTTTTTTTTTTTTTGTCAGATTGCTAGTCCGATTACAGGCGCTGTGCTGCTCTTCTTTTGTTTAATAATTCCACCCCTCGGTTTTTGCTCTCTTCATTTTTTCGCTGTTTTTTTCTTTTTTTCTTTTTGCGCGTTTGGCCATGCAAATGTTCTTCGTCTTACTCCCCCCCCCCCCACCTTAAAAAAAAACCTTCTTCGTCTCATTTCTCTCGTCTTATTTGTATCTATTCTATTCCTTTTTTCCTTATTCTGGGCCTCGCCGCACCATTCAGTGTCACCAAATGCACAAAAGACTAATTATGACGATGTATCTTTCCGCGTTCTAGCGGAAGATTCACTCTCAATTTGCACATTTGATGAGCTGTGCGACTACTGTAGGCCGTCTCTCTCTTCTATGATCCCTCCGTCTGTCTTGATTTCTCAGCGTACGAATAAATAAATAAATAAATGAATAAAATAAATAAATAAATAAATAAATAAAAATTATCCCAGTGAAAAGCTCTCCATTGATTGGTTAATTGCAGTTGATATCCATGGTGATCTTTGTTTTTCTTTTTGGGGGAAGAGGGGGGGCCAAGGGGGGAAGAGGGGGGGGGGGGGGGTGGGGGGGGGGGGGTACATGATTGTTTAGTTTTTTAAGTTCTCCTTTTGTAAAAATGTTTAGTTGGGGACCGGAACGAGCACGGCAGTCTGCTAACCACCTCCCTTCTTTTTTTTTTTTTTTTTTTTTTCTGTTTTGTTATCATCTCCGTCTTCCGGAGGGCGCACAGCGGCAGCGAAGCACGCAGGCAGCCAGCTATTTGAACCTTGGCGTCGTGGTCGGTCTTTGTCGAGTTTGTGAAATGTATCCGACCGCATGTACGGCCAGACCTGGATGTATCTGACCGCAATTACGTCCACAAAGAAGGGAAAACGTCCTACGGTCTTCCCCCGAACATAACGCACCGTAAAATTGAATGTATAGAAGATATATTTCCGGCCAGATACAGCCAAAATGAGGGTGTGTTGTGTTCGGGGGAAGACGGTAGTGTGCGTATGCCCTCACTCCCTACAGCTCGCTCTGCGCAGGGGAACGAGCACGGCAGCTCAGCGCCGCAGTCCGCCAGGCATCTCCTTCTTCCCCGCTGCGCTTTTGTCGTTTTCTGATTGTACGGAACGAAGGTTCGTACAGAAGGGGGGTTGAATCGAACGGAAGCGGAAGGTGCTTTTTTATGCTGCTTTTTTTTCCCCCCTGAAAAACAAATTCGACCATTTCTCGATTTATGCGTGTCATCCTTGCGCAGAGCCCTGGCTAATCTTCTTCTTCTTCTTCTTCTTCTTTTTTTTTTTCTTCTTCTTCTTTTTCTTCTTCTTCTTTTTTTTCTTTTTTTTTTCCCTCTCTATCGCTCCAATTTTATTTATTTATTTATTTTTTATTATTATTTTTTTTTTTTATCGCTCCACTTTTCACAGATGTCCCGGCTTCAATTAAAAAACGATTAGCGAACCCCAGACACGTGTGTCGGCCGACTGGCCGAGACGCATTTATTGTCAGGGCTTGCTAACTTCCACCACTCCCTCTCCTTGCACTCCACCTCCTCCTCCTCTCCTCCTCCTCTTCCTCTGCTGCTCGTTCTCCTCCTCCGCCTCCTCTGCTCCTCCTCTTCCTCTGCTGCTCGTTCTCCTCCTGCTCCTCCCGGTCTCGTCCTCGTCCTCCTGTTCCTCTTCCTCCTCCTCCCCGTCACCTCGTGCTTCTCCGCCTCCTGTCCTCCACCTCCTCCTCCTCCTCTCCTCCCACTTCCCCTCCTGCTCCTCCTCCTACTCCTCCCCCTCTCCTCGTCCATCTCCTCTCCTCCTCCTCCCCCTCTTCGCCCTGCTCCGCCTCCACTCCTCCTCCTCCCCCTCCTCCTCCTTCTCCTCCTCCCCCTCTCCTCGTCCTTCTCAGCCTCATCTCCTCCACCTCCTCCTCCTCCTCTCCTCCCACTCCCCCTCTTCCTCCTCCTCCGACTACTCCGTCCCCTCTCCTCGTCCTTCTCCTCCTCCTCCTCCTCCACGTCCACCTTCTCCTCCTCCTCCTCTCGTCGTCCCCCTCTCCTCGTCCTTCTCCGCCTCCTCTCCCCCACCTCCTCCTCCTCCTCACCCTCTCCTCGTCCTTCTCCGCCTCCTCTCCTCTCCTCCTCCCCCTCTCCGCGTCCTTCTCCGTTCAATCTCCTCCACCTCCTCCTCCTTCTCTCCTCCCACTCCTCCTCCTCCTCCTCTTCCTCCTCCCCCTCCTCCTCCCCCTCTCCTCGTCCTTCTCCTCCCTCCTCGTCCTTGTCCGCATCCTCTCCTCACCTCCTCCTCCTCCTCCCCCTCTCCTCGTCCTTCTCCGCTTCATCTCCTCCACCTCCTCCTCGTTCTCTCCTCCCACTCCCCCTCCTCCTCCTC